AAAATGCGATAAAAGTTATACGATTAATTTAATGTAAACATAACGTAATTTAAAAAGTAATACACATAAAACAATATATTTTTTTAATTATGATATAAAAATTTTAACCTAAATCTAAAATAATCTGAAATAATAAAAAGTATCTAGAAAATATAAACAAGAAAAAACAATGAATCTAATACGACATATTATAAAGTGAAAATAAAACATTAATATAATTAAAAAATAAAAATCAGTGATAAAATAATTATATATTTAAAATAATGTTAAAAATGATATGAAATACTCTAAATATAATAGAGTTTAAAATAAATATGTTAAATAAGAGTATAATATAATAAATATATTATAATTAATATAATTTAATATAATATAATAAAGTGGAGGCTGAGTAAGCCGATGGCGTCAGCCTCCGTCACGTTAACGGGAGCCGCGCTCGTAGTACCGACGGCAGCCTTAACGTTATAGTAACGGGTGGGGGGGGAGCGGTGCAGCAGATGCTGCAGCCCTCGTGCATAGCGCCCCCCTCCATCTCTCCGGTGCGCCTGCGTGCTGAGACACACACACCGACACAGAACGTCCGTCCGCCTGGACCAACAGGAGGAGAGAGAGAGAGAGACTGAGGGGGGGATACCGGGGGCAGTAACGGTAACGGAGGCAGTAACGGTGACGTGATGTGATGCGATGCCGCGCGGGATCACGGTAACGTAAGAACAGCAGCAGCAAGAGGAGGAGGAAGAGGAGGAGGAGGAGGACAGTCGAGGCTGAGCCGGGGAGGATGCAGCAGTGATCGGTACCGGGAGGAGGGGAACACATCCTACCGAGCCTGCACCGACCCGATCTGATGTAAAGCAGCAGGGATGGACGGGTAGGCAGGGAGGTGGCGCGAGGAGCGGAGCGAGCGACGGTACATAACGGAGGAGAGAGCGCGAGGAGGAGGGCGGCGGAGCAGCGCGAGGAGGAGGAGGGAGGATGAATCCGGTGGATGGAGGAGGAGAAGCGGGCCCGGACGGCCTGGCGACGGCAGGTAGGGTGTGTGTGTGTGAGTGTGTGTGAGAGAGAGAGCTGCTGTCGCCATGATGCCTCCACATCCGCCCATTGACTCAGTGTGTGTGTGCCTTATATGCTACATACCATGAATGTGTGTGTGTGTCAGCATCTCTCTGTCGCTCAGATGTGTGTGTGTGTGTGTAGGGGGTCCCACCAAGGAGGATTATGGGAAGGCCTCCTTGCCTATTGAACATGTGTGTGATGTAATGTAGTGTGTGTGTATTTTATATTCTAACACTGAAACACTGTATCTAGAGGTGGAGGCAGCAGGAGCTGTGCAGGAGCCCCCGAAACCTCCAGCCCCCCCAACCGACCCCATGAACACACTGAGGTCTATATGTTGGAGGCAAGCTGCTCCTCCAGCTCGTTTTGATCTCTCTCTGTCTCTTTTTTTTCTTTTCTTTTTGTTTTTTTACAAAGTTTGCTCAAACAATCGTCAAACAATTTCCAGGCAAATGCAGATAGAGCACCAAAAACTACAGTTCCCCAAACGTCCACTAGAGGCAGGCTCCAGCAGGGAGTCAGTCCTCATAGACTCCCATGTTAAAATATCTACCTGTACAACAGAAATACACATGGTCGCAGCTGCTGTAGAGGCTTAAATTTTGCATTGTGAGGGGTGTGGCCTCTTTGACTGACAGGTGGATGGCGACCCAGGCAGCCCAGCTCAGCAAAGCAGCTAAATGGAGTCCCCGAACAGGACATCTGGACCGTGTTTGTGCTTTTGGCTGCTGTGCAATCAGGCTGTAAATTTTTATATAAACCTGCAAACAGAAAACCTCGAAGGACATATTTGAGAGGCTCCAACCAGTGGTGACTACTACCAGCCCATCTGGGAATCTGGGAATAATCAACTATTTTAGTGTATATATCTGAACATACAGAAAAACAGAGGCTGTTATCACCCAGCAGTCATAACAGTTATTATGACGGTTGGGTCACCTTTCACCCCTCCAACTTCTATCTCCTTAAGCTGGATAAGCTGTTAAAAACAAAAAAAAACAAATTTGACATAATATCACAGAAATTGGAGAATGTTCAACATCCACATTTAAGAAGCTGCTGCCTGAAAATGTTTAATTAAAAATGACACAAAAAATGATCCATCACTTAGCAAATGTGATGGATTTTCTGTCTTTCCTGAAGCTTTTCTGAGATGAACGTGTGATTGTTTCTTATTTATTTTAATGATCAGGACTGCAGCTAATTATTTTCTCCGCTGATCAATCCGCTGATGATTTCCTCTTCGGCTGTGTGAGGTGGCTGAAAAAAAGCAAAAAGGGAAAAAGGAGAAGCAGCGAATCCTCGTACTACAGAGGATGAAAATGTGCTTGATCTAAATAAAGCCGCAGTGGAGGGACGAGTTAACATGAAAAGGAAATACTTGAAGTACAAGTACCGCAAATCTGCACTACAGCAGGGTGTCCATCTGAACCATGTATAGTAGGTGGATGGGTTTAATACAGCACATATTAGTCTTAATTTTTCTTAATATAATAAAAGTGATATTAAGCCAAATGAAGACTGGAAGACTTATTGTCATTTTGAAAGATTTACTGCTTTTCTCTGCCACTTACAGACTGGTTTGGTTTCTTGTTTATGGGCTAAATAATGAAATAAAACCAGAGTTAACAGATTCATTTATAGCGGAACCAGACATTAAGTTCTCTAGTGTCATCTTTTAGGGTTTTGGGGGGTATAATTGGTGAATTGGTTGTGCTTCCTAAAAATGGTCCACCAGTTAAAGCTGGTTAGGATAGTGTAATGTCTTGCTGTGATATGACCCTTTGATTGTCTGTGATTGACTGGTGCTTTTGATATCCCAAATCCATCTGATAACTTCTGTCAGGATTGGTCTGAAGATCATCTGTGCCAAATTTAGTCCGAGCTGGGAAAAAAAAATTGTGGCCTCAGGAAAAGTTTGAACTTTTTCTTTGAACTCACCTTGATCTAAGGAATTCAGCACACCTCTGACAAAAAATGGATAGATGATTCGGAAGTTACTTGTGTAAACACACCTCCAGCTTTAATCGTAGAGATCGGCTAAAGACCCAATAAACACTGGTCATTAGAGAACTAGTTGGTGGTTGCTGGCAGTCGGTTGGTTGCAAAGCGGTATACGGTGGTGCATCAAAAACCTTTTTGTGATTGTTTTAGGTGCTCTAAGATTACTGCAGTTGCCCATTGTTTGTCATTGAACACCATCTTGTTTGCAAACACTCGCCAACTACTTGCCAAGAAGCACTGAAGCTGTGAAAAGTTTGACTGTGATTGAGAATGTTCACCTTTTTGAAACATGTTGGTTGCGACAGTAAGACTTTTACTTTGAAGAGATACAATTTGTACTGCACTTTGTACAGTTTTAAAAGCACTCAGAGAGTAAATGGTGAGTTTTTGCAGACAAGTCAGTGTTTTCCATGCAAATTGTAGGCCACCATCTCAATCTATTAGCAACCAAATCAATCACGGTGTAGCACCGTATACCTTTTGAGAGGTACCGTAAACCAACAACCACTTGCCCACCAGTGATGGAATAAACTCTGTGTTTATTGACTGGTCTCTATTTTTCTGAGTAGGTACTAGTGGATAAGGGCTACACATGGCTGTCTGACTGAGGCTTATACGCCAAAATTTAGCATGCTTTACGTCTCCACAAACATTTCTGTGAGCTGGCACCGTAGATTTTGTTTAATCCTTCAGAGGACTTAACCTTGGCGGAGGTAATTTCAGAATGTGTACTGAATAATGAAAGTAATCAGAAGCTTCTTTTGATGATCAGTTAATCAGCTTCTCATATTTGAACATACAACTATTTTCATGACCTTGGCAGAGGTAATTAGGAGCTGCATAATGACACTTAAAAAAAAAATTAATAAAAGCTTCTCGGATATACTTGCAGCTTTCCTTTATTGAATATCAGACTGTTGGTCTGAGAAAACAGGACATCACAGTGAACTTGAAAAAAATATTTTCTAAACGTTTACTTATCGAATGATTGAAAAGATAGTTGAAAAACAAAACAATCCGAAGATTAAATGCGACCTTAGTCTACAGTTCACAAACTGTGGTATGATATGACTATGAATAAGCATAATAAAGCCTAAGGCTAGTGGACCAAACAGCCTTATTAGCTTCGCAAATTTCACTGCTGCCCTTCAGTAGTGGTTGGGATTCATTTGGGTGAATCAAACATAGCATAGTAAGAGCCAAATATTGTTCAGCTACAAGAGTGAAACTTGTTTCTTCACGAAATCTCTTCAAAAGAGCAAAATTAGGCCAGCAAGGAATCTAGGAAGAAGTAAAATTCCTGAAATCAGTGCCTCAAAGGAATAAAACATATAATAATTTCTAATGTCAGCTAAACTAATGATAATAAACACAACCAATAAAACTAGAAACCAGAAGAAAATAAAACAGAACTGCAAAAAGTGGCTGTTGCACAGAGGCATGTATTAACCAAGCAGACCATCCATGAGACAAACCAGACTGTGTTTTTAGAACCGCACAAATGTCAAAAGGCATTAAAGGATGTGTTGTTCCAATGAAATATACTGGGATGTACAGAATATAAGGAACACTGAGGAGGCTTTACAAGGATATGGCTTGGCAACCTTGCTAATGTTTTGCTGATAGTAGCAAGAAAATCTATGTGAAGATGTAAAGAGCAGCACCAGATATGGTTCAGGACATGTGCTCAGCAGGCAAACTGACCTGAATTTTGAGGGTTATGGGAAACATTTCTGACAGAAAGCAGAATTAGAAATTTCTTCTGATTTCTTCCGTTGCATATTAAAAACCTAAAAATAAAGTGTTGGATAAATAAAAAAATAAAAAAATAAAATAACCCAGCCATGGGTTAAAATGACTACAAACCTAACATATGGATATAGGAAAAGCTGGATTACCAGCAGGGAAAAGTGGGACACAGCCCCACGGGTCCCCAAAGGGACCTGTGGTGTCTGTTTGGCAAGCTCCCTGTGGTAATTTAAATATTTGCCACAGCTGTAGCTCAGTGGTTTAGAGCAGGTTGGCCATCGTTCACAGGGTTGGTTGCTCAGTCCCAGCAGCCTCTTCATGTTTTGGACAAAAGCGCTGCTAAATGGATGTGATGTACTTATCTTTTCGGCTAGACTGTTATCAGGCAATTGACCATGAAGGAAAACTGCATCTCATCAGCGTCATTATGAATTACAGCATCTCTGCTTTCAGTTACATACAAACAATCCAGATGATCTTTAATGATCTCAGGGCTCTTTATCAGTTGATTTTATGCTTTTACGCTGTGTTCAGTCACATTATCACATTTTAACTGGCAAGCAACCAACGTGGGGCTGTGTCGTGTTCCAGGAAGGTTATAGCTGTAAGACAGAGTAAGAATAATAGTAACTTGCAGAAGTCAAATAGCTTACAGTAACAAGAAATCAGCTACGTGGTGTTTGAGTAGAACAAGTGTAGGTTTAAATGTACAGTAATCAGCTGCTGTGAACATTATGGAAGAAGATATTTTAGCAAAACCACTGACAGCACTGTCAGTAACAGCAAGTTACACATTGCAACTAATGGAAAGTAGAAACACTGAGGCTAAAAGAATTTCATTATTTCACAGAGGAGCATGAAGCAGTATACAGACTTTTATTGTGAAGTATTTGACACATTTTTATTGTAAAGCATCTTACAGACTTTTATTGTGAAGCAGCTGACAGACCTTTATTGTAAAGTCTTTGACACGTTTTGATTGTGAAACAGCTGACAGACTTTTATTGTGAAGTATTTGGCAGATTTCTATTGTGAAGAAGCTGACAGACTTTTATTGTGAAGTATTTGACAGATTTTTATTGTGAAGCAGCGGAAAGACTTACTTTAAAGTACTTGATTAATTTTGATTGTGAAACAGCTGACAGATTTTTATTGTAAAGCATCTTACAGACTTTTATTGTGAAGAAGCTGACAGACTTTTATTGTGAAGTATTTGGCAGACTTTTATTGTGGAGCAGCTGATGATAAACCGTAAAGCAGTTTGTGTGATTTTCTGTGAATGAAGCTGCATTCACGATGAAACGGCTGTGAGTAACAGTATTTGTAGCTCTTACTTAGACCAGGCTATATGTCAGTGTAGTTCATTTTGGGCAACATAAAAACTGGATGTCTCGAGGCTGTTTTTACAAGCAGAGAAATGGCACCAAGGTCACTCAGAAAAAGAAAGTAATGTTGTATTTTTGGCCTCGGACTGTGATGTCTTAAAATCCACGAGGCTGACATTTTAGAGATTCAGAGGACACTGCGGGGAAATATATTCATTAGTTTTTGTTGTGTAATCAGTGTGATGAGTCCTGACAGACTGACAGCAAGTTCCTCTGAAGGCTTTTCATGTGCTCTGCACAGCCGCTATTTTCAGCTTGTGACTGACTCAGAGAGTGAGTGTTTTATTGGTGTCAGACAGCTTTATCAGAGTGGAAATCCCTCCTCCAAATCTCGATGGTGTCACCTTGATTGACAACCGATCGAGGATCAATCAGATGTGGCGGAACGTGCCAGGTTCAGTTGTATTTACACTCGAACAGACCTCAAACACCCACCAGCGACTCATTAGCGTCTGCAGGCTGTTAGCTTCTGCTCTCAGAGCTGCCATATATTAACAACAGGTCCACCCACTCCAACACATTCATCATCTTTTTTTTCAAATTCGGCTAATTCAAGACAAACAGCAGCAAGTGAAGAGCAGGAGTGTGGAGTTTAACTCGGTTATCAGCAGCGATAAAGAACTGCCTGCTCTCAGTGTTCTTATTGATGATTTATCACAGAAATTAAAACCATCAGTTGCAGCACATTGGGAAGCTCATCTCAGGCTAAAGAAATCAGAGCAGGAACTGGATTTTAGGTTCTTTTAATGGGATGCAACTAAATTCAGATTGAATGATTTTGCATTTTAATTTAAACATTGGACACTGATTCCCAAATGTATTTGATCGACAGCTTGAAGCCCACCACTGCAACTAACCATGATTTTCAGCGTAGATTAATTTACTAATCAACTGATTGATTAACCATACAGAGATTCTCACAGAGCTCAAAATCACATCAACAAATATCTGCTTTCTGAGTTTAACGCTCAAAAGTAATTTGCTATCATGTCAGCTGAGGAACAGTGGCCAGTTCTCCTGTATGGGAAGCAAAAACTATGAAATCTTTGAAAAACTACTTATCAGAATGTTAAACTAGATGCTGATTGATTTTCTGTCCATTAGCTGGTTCCAGTAATCATTAACCAAGCGTAATTGCTGCAGCTCTATTGAAGGCTGAAGTCTTTTGTACCCAACATCAGCTGAGACAGTCTCAAGCCCACCACTGCCCTCTGTAGGATACAGTGGATATAGTCAATTAATGTTTAAATGGACTTTTATATCTTATTTTATTATTCAATAGGTGGGGTTTCCTTAAAATATTAATACTATTGATTGATTTAGTGAAGATGGCTCACCACCGCTTGCTTTTACTGAGCTGCAACTATACCCCTGATCTCAATCTCAAGTTTCTTTCTTGAGCAAATGACCTTTAGCTACTTTGACCAAAGAACAGTGGAAAGTTGTCTTTATAGCGCATTATAGCTTTTGATATCCGGTCCAATCCATTCTGAGTCTCAGATAAGAGCAAACACCTACCTGAAAGACTTTTTTTTTGCCGGATCATGAAGTGCAGACCATTTTCTTGTAGAGATGTAAGTAAAGATGATGGTTTGTGTTGACTATTCTAGTTTGCTTTGGTAACCTTGCATGTTGAACAGTTACACTGCAGAGGTACAATGTGGCACCAAGGGCTCCTGACTGAAGGTGAGAAGCTAGCCCTTATTATACTCTGTCGAGAACACGGACAGCTGGAGATGCCACAGTTGAGTAGTCACCCCTGTTATATTTCTTTTGAAGTCCACTTGAAGTCTGCTGCCTGGGGCACAAGCATAGTCGGTGCATAGTAATTCAAAGTCTCTGCAGATGAGTTTGTACAGTCACAAAAACTGGCAGGCATGTGGGCGTCCACATGGACCCTCCCACTCAGCATCTAATGATAAAATTTACAGTTACGCAGACCCAAGCAGAACCTAGCATTCTTTCAAATATGGAAAAAACAATCAAGTTCTTTTGACTTTCTATTATAAGACTCGACTTATGGAACAGAAGAAGTCTGGGTATTTTGCCACATGGGAAAAGGATTAAAACAGTGTAGCTCAGCAGTCATCTGAAAGCAGCAAGGCTGAGTTTAATCACCAAGAGAAACAGTTATTCTAAACCCAATTGTCATTAAACATGCATCTTCCCATTTCCAAAAGACAGTTAGTAAAGTCTTCAGTAATTCACTGCAAGTCTACAAATTACTCCTGCAGGGTCTAAGCACTGGGAAATTTTATATTTTCCAAGATCTTTTTCTTCATGGTTATTCACATATAAAAAGAGCCTTAAAGGGATTGTTTAATGATAAAGCAAGACTTTAAGTACTTGAACTGAAAGAAACTGTAACTCGTTTTTAGATTTATCAAGATATTTCATTTCTCATCCAAGTGTTTTGTTTTTGTTTTTTTTCAGTTCTAACAGCTGGTGAGGAATCCCAGGTATATAACCTTTAGTGGAGTTGTGACCTTGGAGGTGGTCCTAATAACCGTTCACCCGCCCTGTCTTTAGCTTAGTTGTTTAATAAATATATGAACAAAGTTGTAAAGCAAAGTATATAGGTCATTAGGGACTTTTCTAATCCCACTAGAGCTTAAATACCTAGGACTTGCCGTGAGCCTTTCGAACTGAAGAAGCCCCCTGAATGAGAATCAAGAATCATAAAATATGTCTAGTTGCTGTCAACTTAAGAGCATAAGACTTCCATGGCCTGGATGACCAAAAACCTACACAGGCCATGTAGGGCTTATGGATGCAAACATGGAAATCAGCAGATATACTACAGGTACGCCGCATCGTTAGGTGAAGATTAGTGAGTTCTAACCATAAAGGAAGAGAAAGGAGGCACAGTGCTGTTGATGTTTGTCCTTCCTTTGGTAAAAATAGCTGTTGGTGAAAGCTAAAATGAAGAGGCCTGCTTACAGATTCATTGACCAAATCAGGGTATTTTTCCACATGGGGACCGGATGCAAAACAGTGCAGCTCATTAGTCATCTGAAGGTAGAACACAGTTTGACTTCTGTTATTGTTGTTGGTTGATTTTTTTGCAGAAAATATTGAAAATGAACTCCATATTTCACTTAATTTGGATGGTTTATTTTTGCAACAGCCTATGGTTTAAATCACATTTAGTCTTCAGTCATTCCCATAGTATTTTGGGGCTTTTCTACTTTCTGTTTGAAGTAAATATTCTTATCACAGTGAATTTATGTGTAGGTTATTTGGGTTATTATCACACATGGGTGTGGCCTGACTAAAACCCTTGATGGATTATCAGGGGTCTGAAGCTGATTAGTTAATAAGTCAGTCTGGGTCAGTCTGACAGACATGGATGGAGAAGGAGAAATAGGGTGCTGCAAGCAGGGAGCTTAAGTTGGAGAAGTGTTTCTCTTCTCCTTCCTGTTTTTAGGTTTTCTCTCTGAGGGTTATTGCTGCTCGTTGAGCTGCTAATGTGAGACGTTTAATGCCTTCATTGTGTGTGTGTTTGTGTGTGTGTGTGTGTGTGTTGGATTAGCTTTCTCCCCGCTGTGGAGGATGATCTGACGCACATGGGAGGCCGTCTGCAACACACACTTATGTTTGTACTCCTAGCTTTGTGGGGACCGCCAATGACAAAATGTGTTTTCAGGCTCCTAAACCATGACAAACCTAAACCTGATCAAATGTTAAAAGCACATCTCAACCCCTGAAAACAGACCTTTGTGGGTTTTTTCAGAGATAATGTCCTCACAGGGTCTTAAATTCAGCACAGTCCTCACAAATATAGGCATACAAGTACACAAAGACATGCTCCCTGAGCTGCAGGAGCTTTTTAATTGAAATGTCTGTCAGCTCCTCGCGCTGAAGCCTGATTTTGGTAGATGAGAGGAAGTAGTTTGATGTTTCCTTGTCCTTTTTTTCTCAACTTTTTAAACTTGACATGAACTGAAAAATTGATGAGTGATAATAGCATCAGCCTGTAGGTGTTTTTCACACTGGTCCCACTCAAATATCTTGAGCTGGAACGATAAGTCAGTGTGGAGTTTTTGACCACTGTTAGTAATATTTTTACATGACGGCATCCCGGTGTGGTCGGTAGTGCGGGTGACATTGTATTCATGCCAGTTTCACAATGCCCCACTGATAGAAAGTTGGTGGTGAAGTGAAGAAAGCTGCTGAAAATAATGTGATTAGAAAGATTTCAACATGTTGGCCAATCAGAAAAAAAGTAGGCCGTTGATAAAGGGGGCTTGAAGAGTGTTTGTGTTTCACCTTTGATTTGGGGTTCCTATGGTGGTAGATCTCTAGCTGGACTAGACAAAAGCCTGCAGCTCAAGATTTCCTCTATCTGTCTTTCAGGTTCTGGTAAAGCCGAGTGTGTCCGGGCAGTCGATGTCCTGACGGTGCTCAGAGAGAAAGTGGCCTTCGTATCGGGTAAAAACAAACAAGCAAAGAAAATAGAAAAACACTAATACTGCTGCAGGTTTTATCCCAGCTTGGTCTTCATGTAACTCAGTTTGAGTAACTGCTCTATGTGTTTTTCAGGTGGACGGGACAAACGAGGTGGACCAATCCTGACCTTCCCTGCGAGGACCAATCATGATCGAATAAAACAGGAGGACCTCAGTCGGCTGGTCACTTACCTGTCCACGATACCCAGGTAGAGCTGTTTTGCAGAGCTTACCTAAATATTAGTTAGCCTGGGGTACGTAGTATATATACTTTGTCAAAATGTTATGAATACACACAGTTTTGTGAATTGGGATTGTTAATTTTACCATTATAGATCATAAAAACACTGATTTCTGTAATGACTCACTGCCTTCACTGTTTTGGAGGCCAAAAGGCTCTTAGGGGCTTAAGCAAGTGTTGGCTGCTTTCAGTGTTATAGAAAAACCCTTTTATGTCAACATAGGTCATCTACAGGTTACAATTACTGTGGAGTAACACAAGGTTCCATTTTATGTGCTATTTTATTTTGTATTTATAAGCTTCTATTCAGCTAAATTTTATTGCTATGTAGACGACACACAGGTGAACTTTCCAAAAGCCTAGCTGTACTTTAAAACTGTTGGATGATACAAAGTTTTCTTTAGCTGAATAATTGAAAATCAGATAGTTCAGTCTTATTGTTTAATCCTACAAACTGTAGTACTCAAATGAAAGTTTCTTTGAAACCCTGTTTACAAATACCAGAAATTTACGAACTCAGTTTGACCCGACCCACGGTTGTCGAATTAAGACCTGTCTTCAGAATTAAACTAAGGCTTTTAAATTCACACCTGGAAAAACACATCCAAGCCTTTATAGTGTTACAGGCTTGACCATGGCAGTTCTGTCCTCTCTAGTTCGAAATGCAGCAGCTTGGCATGTATTAGCAGATGGCATCACGTCTCCCGGATCCTGGGTTCTCTCTTTTGTCTTCCCACATGTTATAGATTTGATTTCAAGATTTTCCTCATCACTTTTAAAGCATGTCTAGCCCCGAGCCTTATAGCAGAAACGCTTGTGGCCCCTCCACCTAGAATGACCTCACAGAAACAGTGAACGACTTTAATTTGCTTAAAACTTTTATAGAGTTGGTTTTTGTCATTGAAAATGATATTGTCTTTTATGTCCTTTGTCTGGTTGTCATCTTTCAGATGTGCTGTTTATTACATATGTTCCCTCAGTCGTCACTGGTATTTGTTTATTCTCCTTTTCTTTTTGTTTGAGTATTTTGTTTTTTGATTGTTTGTTGAGGCACTGTGTAAAACCTTTTGTATTTTGTTAAATTTTAATGCACTATCAGGAAAAAATCCAGTAAAATGCCAAAAAATAACAGTGTAAATTCCTGTTCAGGAAATTCCAGTTATCAAGTCATGTCCTCAAATAGTATTTAGCACAGTGGTTCTTAACCTTGTTGGAGGTACCGAACCCCACCAGCTTCATATGTGCAGTCACTGAACCTCTCTTTAGTGACAAATAAAATGTTTTTGAATTTTTTCAAATTCAAGACGTAAATATGTTTTTTACTGGTGCACAAAATGAGCCGTGCATGTCACGGCGGAGGCTCTGCCGAACCCCTGAGACCGACTCACCGAACCCCTAGGGTTCGATCGAACCCAGGTTAAGAACCACTGATTTAGCATCTTTGACTTAAGCTATCTTTAAAGAAATGTCTTAACCAGCCAAGACTTGGAGGAGCTACTACTAACTAGCGTGGGTCAAATCTTTGTAGAATTTATGCTGGTTGAGAAAATTGTACAGACCTGATGAAAAAAATAGTACCTGGATCGTATTACCAGCTTTTGCATCTGTGTGTCTTTCTGTCAGTGAGGATGTGCGTGCTCGTGGCTTCACCGTGGTGGTGGACATGCGCGGCAGTAAGTGGGACAGTGTGAAGCCAGTACTGCGAACGCTGCAGGAGTCATTTTCCTCCAACATCCACACAGCGCTGCTCATCAAACCTGACACCTTCTGGCAGAAACACAAGACCAACCTAGGCAGTGCCAAGCTCAGCTTCGAGGTACATTACTGCACAGTGAAGATCAGCTGTCATTACCTTAAGTGCCAGTTCTCCTGCTGATGCCACCTGAAGCGCTTCTACAGGCAGTACTGTTAAACTGAGTGCACTGACTTTTAAATGAAGTATTACTACTGCTAAGAAGAGTACTGCTCCACTGACTACTGTGCCCAAGTGAAAAACCACTAATGTTAGATGTTCTTCTAAAATTACCCCTTTATCACATACGAACACTACACCTAAATGAAGTGCTCATGTTACAGAAGTTACTGCTACTACTTACAACCTGTGTGTACTATAAGATAAGATAAGATAAGATAAGATAAGATAAGATAAGATAAGATAAGATAAGATAAGATAAGATAAGATAACCTTTATTAGTCCCACACGTGGGAAATTTGTTTTGTTACAGCAGGAAGTGGACAGTGCAAAAGTTATATAGCAAAAATTAGAATACAATAATAATAAATACAGTACACAACTGTACAGAATAGAATAAAATAAAATACTATATACAGTAGAATAAATAGAATAAAATATACAATAGCATAAAAATAGAATACAAATGCTTTATACAACTGAGTAAAAATACAACTTTGTCAGAAAAAGAGTATTGCACTTAGTGTTGTTGCACATGTGTGGGTGTGTGTGTTTGATCAGTTGGAGTCTTTGTTGTGGAGTCTGACAGCAGTGGGGAGGAAAGACCTGCGAAATCTCTCCATCCCACATCGTGGGTGCCGCAGTCTCCCACTGAAGGAGCTGCTCAGTGCTGTCAGAGTCTCTCGGTGGGAGATGTTGTCCATCAGGGATGACAGCTTAGTCACCATTCTCCTGTCTATAATACAACTACTCAGTTCTTGACATTCCCCTGCAGTATGCAGTAACCTGTTTCTGTCTCCAGACAAGCCTGGTGTCCGTGGAGGGTCTGTCCCGGCTTGTCGACCCCTCCCAGTTGACCTCTGACCTCGGCGGCTCATTGGAGTATGACCATGTAGAGTGGACTGAGCTACGCCTGGGCCTGGAGGAGTTCTCAGGGGCCGCCACACAGCTGCTGGCCCAGCTGGAACAGCTAGAGGCCGGACTGAACCGCATACCAGAGCCACAGGATGTTGATGAGGCCCGCAAGTGAGTGTTTTTTTCTCTCGTGTTTACCATATAATCTTAACCGCTTACCTACAAAATTACACACAATTCCAGTCAGATTTCATGAAACTTCCGAGTTGGCGCACAGGCAAAGAAAGCACCCGTTAGATTTTGGTGTGGATCTGGAACACCTTTAAAACTGCAAACCTTCTTGGCAAATTAGCTCTTTCAAAGGTCATTAAAGCCAAGTCTCCCTCCTTGTTTCTCTCTCTAGACTTCTTGAGGAACATGGTCGTCTCCGTAATACTATTGCCACAGCACCAGTTGATGCACTTGACCGAGAAGGCCGGTGTTTACTCCAACGTATGCGCCTTGGCCCTTCACACAGTGACACCTCTAATGAAGGTGGTGGGGGTGGCGGCAGCCACGGCAGCTGGCTCTCAGGTGGGACAGACTTCCAGAGCGTGGCTCCAAAGGTTTCGTCCCTGCTGGACCGACTGCAGGCGGCTCGCACCCACCTCCTGCAGAGCTGGAGTGACAAGAAGCTGCACCTGGACCAGGCGCTGCAGCTACACCTTTTTGAGCAGGACGCCACCAAGGTGAGGTTTATGTTGTGATAAGCAAGTATAAAACCTAACTGGTTGGAAGCAGAATGAAAAAAAAAATATTTGTTTGCCCCAGTAATGTAGGTGCTGTCACATTTCTCGAAAGACTGACTTAAATTCTGGGGGGTTCTCCCATGTGTCGACAAACATCATGTTTGTTTTCACGAGAACAAAGCTGCAAATCACAGTTGACATGTTGCAAATTAGGTGACATGTGTTTCAGACAGGAGAAGCTGTCAGCCCTTAGAGTAAAGTACAGAAATGAATAAAGATTTTATAACGATCCTTCTCGCAGAGTTAATGTCTGTTGAGCCTCTGGATGGTAACACTGGAAATGGTTTTTTGAGCTACTTTTGCATTGCCTAACCTCGCTTTTTCACACATTGTTTGGCATCCTTTACATTAAGTTCATAATGAGTTTCATGGTGCTTAAATTAAATGCAATAACTTTTGCACCAAGTTTGCTATCTTTTATGATGCTCTGCATTTCTTTGTATTATGTATTGTGTCCATCAAATTTAAGTTTTCAATCTCTCACTTTCAGTTTGATGTCCCTTACATTAACGCTTCTTAATCTTTTGTTTTATTCACATCAACCTTAGCATCCTGGACAGATAGCTGGATGCTAACCTTTCTGTCTCCCTCTGTCTTAGATGTCCGAGTGGATCGGTCACAGTAAAGAGCTGTTCATGCAGAGCCTGGTGGAGGTCGGTCAGAACCACCAGCACGCTGTCGACCTCCAGACACAACACCAGCACTTCACCGCCAACTGCATGGTCAGTCAGCGAGTGCACATGTATCTGCGTGTGTGTTTTTGTACAGAGTAGTTTTAATGAGCTGAACTGACATGTTTGTGTTTGTGCAGAATGGCAGCGTGAACGTGGACAGCGTTGTCACTGTGGCGGCGAGGCTCGCAGAGGCTGGTCATTATGGTGCAGAACGGATCGCCATGGTTTCGTCAAAATTACAGGAAGACTGGAAGTCCCTGACCACGGCACTGGAGGAGCGCAGCAACACGCTCGCCATGGCAACCGGCTTCCACCAGGGGGCAGAACAGGTGACCTGTATTGATTTATATTACCATACTTGTCTCCTCTTATATGACACTGCAACAGTCAGGTGATGTTCTCATGTCAAAAATCCTACTTGTCTGTCTCTCCCTGTTTAGTTCCTGCATCGGGTGGAGGGCTGGGTTCAAGTGTGCTCTGAAGGGTCACTGCCATCGGCGACAGCAGAGCTGGAAGCTGCTGTAAAAAAACACCAGGAGCTCAATGAAGAGATCTCTGCAAACTACACACAGGTACATGCCTGTCTGTGCTCTCAAATCCTGTGTGTGATAGACAGCTGTCTGTCTCTTTGTTTATCAACACCTGTCCTTCTTCAGGTCAGCGAGAGCGGTAAAGCATTACTGGATGTCCTCCAGCGCAGCCCAGCATCAGATTCTGACGAATCAGTGCCCAAACCTGACTTCACTGCCGCCACACACAGCATCATGGGAGTTCTCCACCAAGTGATGCAGGTATGTCCCTCCATGACCTGTCTCACATCCTCCACATCCAATGTGCAGGCAGCAAGATACGTGGAGTGATACAGACTGTCCTCTGTTTTGCAGGGTCACCATGAAGTGGAGAGGGCATGGCAACACCGCAAGCTCCGCCTCCATCAGCGCCTGCAGCTGTGTGTGTTTCAGCAGGATGTTAAACAGGTATGACCAAAATGTAGATGCTGATCCAGTTTGAAACATGGATGTATATTCAGAGCCAGATTCTGAAGAATCCACTTCAATGTCCAAACTAAAATTCTTATAGCCACACATTATATTAAATGTCTGGGTTTGTTTGTTTTATAAATTATCTAAAATCTTAGATATTTTTGTGCATTTGTATATAAGTTGTGTACCATTCAAAAATTCTGAGCTCAGGAGAAAAAAGATCTGAGATTCAGGTTAACCTCCACATGTCTGTCTCCCAGGTGTTGGACTGGGTGGAGCAGCATGGTGAGGTTTTCCTGAACAAACACACTGGCGTGGGGAAATCTCTGCACCGAGCACGAGCGCTGCAGAAACGCCACGACGACTTCCAGCAGGTCGCACAGGTACCGTAGGCTCAAGACCCACATATAGTCGATCTTTAATGTCAGTGTAACTTTGAAAGAGTTTTATCCAGTAATACTGTGAAGCACTTTGTTGTTGCAGTTCTGGATTCAAGACTGTTTCCAGAGGCCATTCCAATATACACAAGGATAAATCTAACTGATTAAAAGAATTTCTTTGCATGGAGAAATTGTTATTATTATTAATATTACTGTTATTGTTGTTATAATGTGAAAGCATTTTTAAATGAGAGAGAAGTCATGTCCATGTGCTCTAGGAGGACTGATGGAGGATGATCTCTCAAACAATACTAGCAACTCAAACAAACTGACCTACCTAAACAAAGGAGAAACTTAAGTGCAGCTGCAGTGTGCTAATTTCTTCCTCTTTCTTAGAACACATACACCAACGCGGAGAAGCTTCTGGAGGCAGCAGACCAGCTGGCTCAGTCTGGAGAGTGTGAAGAGGAGGAGATTTACCAGGCGGCCCGAGACCTGGAGCTCCGCATGCAGGTGTGTCTGTTGAAGGGAGGGGAGAAGGCGGGGCTGTGTTGTAGTTTATATGCTGTGAATGTGTGGTTTACACTGTTTACATATCACAGGCCTTTATCCAGCGTGTTGAACAGAGGAAGCTGCTGCTGGATCTCGCTGTGTCTTTCTACACGCATACAAAGGAGGTAATACACATTGACACAACTTTTGTAACCACTCGTCAGAGGTAATATTATTAACAGTAGCTGCTCTTCCTCTCTTCTTCTCCTTCAGCTCTCAGCGTGGATGGATGGACTCCAGAAACAGCTCTCCTCAGATGTCCTCGTCTGCCCAGACACTGTGGAGGCTCTTCAGACTCTCATAAGCCAGCAGCAGCAGCAACAGGCCAACACACAGGTAACAGCCCAGCTGTGACCTCTGACCTTAAGTCTAACCCCATCATAACAACCTAACACCCGCACCTGACCCCTGATCACCTCTAACCCTCACACTAACCCGAGCTCTAACCCTGACCTACAGGAAGCTGCGATGAGTGTCATCCGGGAGGGAGAAGACCTCATCCTGCAACTGAGGTACACACACACATACACAGTGGGTGTGTTTGTTTTAAGCCACAGTGCTGCACTGCTTACTAGTGCATGTCATTACTGAAGATCTAGATGTGTTCTGCAAACAGCTTTGTGAACCTGTCTGGTCTGGTCTGTGTGGCTTTGTTTGTTTTACTTGATTATTTAGAAATATGCACCTTGGAACTTTGTGAACCAAATATTGTGTTTTTCGGGTCATGTAGAACAGAGGTCCCCAACCCCCGGGCCACGGACCGGTACCGGTCCTTGAGTCATTTGTTTCCGGGCCTCGAGAGTTGAGGCTGGGGTGTAAAATGTATAGTTTTCAGGGTTTTTATCATTTTTTTAGCGTTGTTTTTTATTGTTTTTTATTGTTAACTCGGTTTTCCTGGGTCTTTTCACGTGTGTTATGAATAAATCTACTAGTTTTATTTTGTTGTATTTATCCGCGACACCTTAAAGGCCGGTCCGTGAAAATATTGTGGGGCATAAACCGGTCCGTGGCGCAAAAAAGGTTGGGGACCGCTGATGTAGAATGTGTGTGGGTTTTCTCTGGATTATGGGGAATGTGTTCTCTTTTATGTGGATTATGCAGGTGCTTTTATTTTCTGGATTATAAAGAATGTTAATGTGCACCTTAGGAATTTGTATCAAACAAAGTGATTACCGTATCTGTACAAAAAGGGATGCATGAAAATGAAGACTGTATTAGTATATCAAAGGCCCCAATTGATAGTGAGAAGAACTATTTTCTGATGAGGTAAAACACAATATTGTGCTTAAAATCACAAGAACAGCCTTCACCCGAAGTGGATTATTTGCTGGGAGGTGTTAACAAATGCCGACATGGTGCTGAGTGAGCCTAAGAGGCAACTGGAAACCAAACATTCTTCAAAGAGAAACTTTACCCACTTCTAAAGTTGGCTGTATCAAAACCTGAGGCAGTAAGACTGCTTGTTTGTTGCTTTATCTGAAACTGTGTGATAAGGATGTGTGTGCACGCTTGTAGAGTTCACTACAAAATATGTATCATGCCCAAGACTGTTTTGATTAAATAGTAAAATCAGAAGAATTGATCATATGGATCAGTTGTTTATGGGTATAAGTACATCTTAGCTTTGAAATTTCGCTTGCCCCTTGGTGTGCATTGAAAACAAAAAGTCTGAAAACCACGGAGGTAGATTATGTTAAGTTTGTGTAGAATTGATTGCAAGACAAATTCTGTGTTTGAGAGAAATTAAGAAATTCATGAATTGAAAATGAACTGGTCTCTGTGGTAAAAACACAGTTGACCATAAAGGTAAAGCTGTTGATTTACTGTTTGATCTGCATTCCTACGCTCACCTGTGACCACCAGCTGTGGGCAGTGATCAAAATAATGAGATGAGAATGAGTGTGTCTGGGCTCTCCCTTTGAAATAGGGTGAGGTAATTAGAGAGGAGAGAGGAGAAGAGACTCACTACTCCTTTTTATTAAAAGAACCAGTTGAAATGGTTCTGGTATTTCACCAGGACACCTCCTGGATGCCTTTAAGGTGCACGTCCAATTAGGAGCAGACCCTGAGGCAGACCTAGGTGCTGGAGGAGGTAGCTGGGTAGATGGAGGTTTTTGAGTCTCTGCTTAAATTGATGTCCAAACTAGCCAGTCCTGCATGAGTGGGTAAAAAACGTATGGATGAAAATGTTTATTACTACACACAGAACTAATAAACAATAATAAAGTGTTAAATTCTTATTTCCTGGCCTCTGAAGAGCTTATGGCGTGTGGAAAAGAGTCCAAATGTTTCATGAGTACAGTATATAATGATCTATATATGACCCTTACACTCTTGTGTTTGTTTACTAATTTGTGGATTTAATTGTTGTGTTGGCATTTGTTTTCACTAGACAGGGCAGTTAAGAGGCCTGTGTGATACTGATTTCTATTATTCTTCTTTCTATTATAGTTGTGTTTGTTTTCAGGTTTACATAGACTTTGTGTTTGTTCTTTATGGCGTTTTGCAGCCTGTGTATTTGTTTCAGTGTTCATGCAAACTCAGAGGCCTGCACTGGGTGTTGGTGGGTGCCTTTGTGTAAGATTTGACTAATGTGTGTAGGTGCATTTGTTTTTCGATTTGTATATCCTGCAAGAATGTATTCATTTTCAGGTCAGGGCATTTTTATTTGTAGCTTTTTGAATGTTTACATATTCCTATAACGATCGGGTGGGTTTGTTTCAGGCCCCAGGGCAGCTCGGTGGCACATGTGGAGTCAGTGCTGCAACAGCTGGAGGAGTCTCACGTTCAGTTAGAGGAACTTTTCCATCAGAGGAAGATCCGACTTGATGTTTACTTACAGCTGCGCATATTGCAGCAGTGCACACTGGAGGTTCATTTACATTCTACTTTTCCATACAAATTTTCCCTCCTTGCGTGAGGTTGGAAAGGTGAACTTCATGATTGTGTTTTCCAGGTTACTGGGGAAATGGACGCCTGGAAACAAGACCTTCAGAAACAGTCGCAGGACTTCTCCACCGAGAAAATAGCATCAACAAGGCTAGCAGATGCAAACCAGGACAAGCTGGCCCAGGATAAGTTAGCACTGGGTCAGTCACGTCTAGTGGAGGCGACCCCCGAGGCACTAACATTAGCACAGCAGCGCATTCACAGGTAAGCGGGCCAAGATGATGTCATCGCCCTCACTCGACACAATGATAACTCTTGACGCAGGCTTTGATTCATAGATTGGTGATTGAATTGCAGGCACATGGAACGAAGGCTGGCTATGAACAACATGATTTATGAGGTCATCCAGCAAGGCCATGACCTTCAACAGTACATCACAGAGGTTGTGGCATCAGGTAAGAAATTCACTCTCATGTAGTTTACTTTTGCTGGCTGAGGCAGTCAATTAAACTGAAACATATCGAGAGAAATATACATCATGTTCTTCAGTGACGTAATGTCGGCTTAGAAAAGGGGACCCAAGATTGAGTCCTGTGGTAAGGCACAAGAAATGAAAGATGATATCAATTTTGAGTTTTAGAGGTTATTAATGGGCTGCAGTAAATACTTTAGTTTGGGGGCTCTTCAGTCATTAGTGGGGTTTTATTGTTAGCAGCTGAGAGGTTTTCTCTATAGTTTCCAGAGATATGGTTTGGGGTCACAAAGGTATTTAATGAAATCCGGGTAATGTGGTTTACAATACCCAAGAGATTCTAAGATCTGTGTATGGACACCATGAATAATGCCACGGTAGACCAAAGCCCTCATGAGCTCCCCATAGTTATAAGTAAGTGGTACTGATTTCTGATAGTGTATCACTGATGTGCTCCAGGTGTCTTAAAGTGTTTTCTAGTGATCCTTGAGTGTGTTTAGAAGTTACTTAGGGGATTGTGGAAATCCCTTAATTGGATTTTGCTTATTTATTTAATTATTCTTTAAGGGATTTCTAAAGAAGATTGCTAGTGGCTGGGGATATTCCCTCAAAGAAAGGACCTTGAGACATTTCTGTTAATCATGCCCTCAGTGTTTTAGTTAGTGTCGCCCTGTGGGGCTCAGTAGTTTCTGAAGTAATTGTGGGTTGTGATTTTGAACATTTCCATGAGGGGGCTCCAGATATCTTGGGTGTCTGGTGATCATTTGAAGGTACTCAAGAGGTTCCAGAGATCCCTGACAGTTATGTACCCGAATAGGTTTCCAAGTACAAGTATTAATTTTTGAAATGTGCCAGTTCAGAGGTTGCTTTATGATTTATTATGATAATTCTAATATTTGACCTGGATTATAATTTCTTTAACCAGCAAGGTGGATATTATATTTGTTTACACCAGCTTTATATATTAACCGTTGAACTTCACCAGCTCAGTACTGACCTGTCTAGGGTCAGGGTTGGGGTTGGTTTTAGCCAAATAGATGTTACATTTCAATCGTTTTATAACATTTCAGACATTTCAAATGTTTTATAGTTTGGGTGGACGTTCACCAAACCCAAACAATAAACCTAACTCTATATGAGTCGCTGTTCACTGTGAGAATATTAAGTGGTTAAAAAAACTTTAGCATGTTCTGTAATGTCTGCAATAAAGTACTGCTGCTGCTGAGTATGAAATGCAGTGTGACTGAATTAAATTTAGGTATTTCATTTTTCATTTAGTCAAGGACCGAAGAAGTTGTTTCCAGTCACACTTTGAGAGTCCTGTCTTTAAAAGGTTCTGTTGGACTGGTTGGTTTGCAGAGACAACTGAAGGGGTAGTGATGATACTGAAACAGGCTATGTGGTCCTTGAAGTGCTTCCAGGTTTTCTGGTTTCAATCCAGGGCTTGTAGCTGTACTTGAGGGGGTTTTGGTTTCCTTGAGGGGCTAATGAGGGCTTTGATGGCGTCAAACAGCAAAGCTGGCAAAAGGCCGAACGGGCACGAAGCAGAATAGTGCAGGACGGTTGCAATACAATGGCATGTTGATTATGTTTAACCTCCACAGAATAGAAGAGAATTGAATGCAGCAGAATAAAATAGAAATCAGTCAGCACATTTCATGCTCCTGCGTAGCCTCCATCTGACCACTTCAGTAACACAGTGATGATATTAGGAGGGAGAAAGGGGGGGCACCGAGGATAATGGGGGAGGGGGGAAAGGGGGATGGGGTTGCCATGGAAACTGTTCTCTGAAGCACACAGCTGGTCCCCATAGAAACCAGCGTATTGAATTTGCCATGGAGACACACAGACAAAACCTTGCATCAGTTCATGCATCCATACACATATGAACAGAGATATACACAAACAGCTGCCTAATGTACTTGTGGGGATGTTAGCAGCCAAAACGCCCTCTAGGTCTAAAGTGTGTATCTGTATGTGTGTGTGTGTGTGTGTGTGTGTGTCAGGTATCGAGCTGTCCGAGGCAGAAGGAGGAATCTCCTCTCAGGTGGAGGAGCTGCAGCACCTCCTGCAGGACAAACAGAAGGAGCTGCAGCAGATTGCAGATCTCATACACACACATCTGGAACAGAATCTGCAGCTGAGACACCTGCAGAGCCAGGTTAAACAGGTAACACACACAGATGAACATGTGCCAGGTGCCAAGTGGGGACTAAAGGTGATGATGCTGACCTGTATCCGTCCCTGTGTATCTGTCTCAGGTGCTGGGTTGGATCTCTGAGGGGGAGGTCATGTTATCGTCCTGCATGTTGAATTCCAGCTGTTTGTCTGAAGCTGAGCAACTGCAAAGGGAGCATGAGCGCCTCCAACAGGCCATAGAGGTTATTGCACACACAATGCAAACTGTACGCTCCAATTAGAAGAAGTAATAAAAAGGAGAATTATTAAATGGCTTCTACATCAAAACTATGCTAAGATATCAGGTTTCTAAACAGCATATAAATATGAATTTTCTCCACTCTACAGAAAAAAATATAGAAACATCTTTTAACAGTTTTTCTAAAAAAAAACACACACACACACAAGACAGTAACAAACACTAAAAAAAATATCTGTTCAGTATTTTAAGAAGAAAGTATTTATAGCCTCACCATAACATTGCCCTTTCTGAATAATTTACATATAGATGTATAGATGTAAATATGTGTGGCTGTTCTTCAGACTTCAGGTTATCACAACATGAAATGCATCAAAATCTGAGCAGCTTACCAGCTCAGCTAAATGGATTCCTGTGGGAAACCCTGCATGACAGCGAATAAATGACCCTGCCCTCATGCAGAGGATGAGTCTGATGTGTTTGCAGTCCATCACAGCAGTCAGCTTTAGAGGTTACCACAACAACAGGGACTCACAAAGTCCTCCCAACGGATTAACGGAAATGAAGTGAATGTGCTGTGCCTTGTCTTTTCCTCCAGTCTCTCCTTCATGCTGATTCCCTGCAGAGGACCCACCAGGTGGCCCTGGCACTGCAGCAGAGAGCAGAGCTCTTGGTCAGGTTAGTTAATCTATTATTATTAATGCTAATTAGCTGCAAATATCAAATTATTAACCACTGGTCTCATTAATTTCCAGTAAAATCTGGCTTAAAAACATTTTTATAAAGTCTTAAATACAGACATAGCAATGCTTTATCAAGTACATAGTAACCCTTTGTACAAAAGTTATATAACCCCATGTATGTACTGCTAACTGTTATTGTAATTCATAAAATTATATTATACTTCACAATATTTCTGGAAATGAATCAATCAAAGCAAAAGCTTTGATCATCTGTCACCTTCTGGTGTTCTGTGTTAGAGAGAGCTCACATTTCCCAAACTGTAAAAGAATCATTTTTATAATATTCATTACTATCATTTAACGTTAAATGATGAAAATGTTACATTTCTTCAGGAAGGCCAGCCATTAGTCTGTTTAACAACTGACATCTGCACTTTCCTCCTTAGGTCAGGTCATTATGACCCAGATGCAGTGAGGTCTTGTGCCCAGACGGTGGCGCTACACTGGCAGACTCTGATGCTGAGGATTGAAGACAGACTTAAATTAGTCAACGCATCTGCTGCCTTCTACAGGACATCACAGCAGGTAACGAGAGACTGTAACTGCGTCTGATAAATAAACGGTGCCAAGCACTTAACTGAGTGGTTAGCAAACTCGTAATATATTATAATTATCTTAAATGAAAAATAACTGTAATACTTTAACTGTAGAACACATTGTTTTTACAAACTTACTTTTTAGGTTGTGCAAATATTTAAAATTTAAACTACAGTCAGCCGGAAAATTCGTAGTATACTGTGTTTCTTCAAGTATGTACCTCCTGTTTCCAGGTGTGTGGTGTCCTGGAGAGTCTGGAGCAGGAGTACCGCAGGGAGGAGGACTGGTGTGCAGGAGGAGAAAGACAGCCGGAGCAGCTGGTGCCACTCATCAGCAAACACATGGAGCAGAAGGAGGCGTTTCTGAAGGTGAGGAGCTCTGGAAAATCACCACAAACTCCAAAATAGAAGCTGATCATTGCTAATATTTTACGCTGAAAACGAGTCCAATCAACTGCTGTAATCAGTCATGGGCAGGCTTTAGTGACATATCCTATTAATAGGGTACTTGAATAAAGTTGAATACATTTATTTATTTTGAACAGTTTTCTTGTTCAATGGTCATGGAAAGTTCTCATTGTATTAAATTTAGCAGTCCCAAAACATCCAGCATGAGTTGTCCTCATTTGTTTATTTTGACCAGAGCATTTATGAAAGTTGTACGATCTGGGCCAATCGTACAAGTGTTATCAAAGTACTTCCCTAATCAAGTCTTTCTACTTGGCATGCATCTTGGTAACTATTTGAGCAATTATTTGTAAGTGCTTGTGGAGAAAATGGCAAGTTAAACTTTACTAAACCTGGTAATAAAGTTTGATTTTGGATGGAGTGAGCCAAGCCTACCACAATGCTGAAACTGTCGGCAGTAATGATTGATCATAGATATATTCGGGCTTATTCGAGTGCCATGTCTTTTTCTCATAATGTCTCTGGTGTTGGACATCGACAGGCCTGCACTCTGGCCAGACGGAACGCCGAAGTTTTCCTCAAGTACATTCACCGTAACAGTGTCACCATGGCGACCATCTCTGGCCACAGTGTCACCGTCTCCGGGGTAACAGGGGTTGCAGAGGTCACTGGACACTCCAGGGTGCCCGAGCAACAGGTCAAAGGTGAACAAAATATATACATGAGAAATATTCAAGCATTTGTTGGTGTAAATACAGAACTACAGTGGAGCCGGGATCACTTCTTGAGGAACACCACACTTAATGGCAAACTATAGTGGTAATTCGACTTACCCAGATGTGTCTGTGCACTCAGGTATCCTCAGTGAGCTCCTCCAGAGAGAAAACAGAGTTCTTCATTTCTGGACTTTAAAGAAACGTAGACTGGATCAATGCCAGCAGTATCTGATGTTCCAGAGCCACGCTCAGCAGGTAGATGCGGTCTGCTAAATTATTAGCACTGTTATTCATGCTCATTAACAACAAAATCAGCAAATCATATACACTGATCGGGTGTAACATAACATTATGATCACTGACAGCTGGCTCGTGTGGTCTGTTCCAACAGACAAGCTACTGTATCTAACAACTTTGATTCTCAAGCATACAAAGTTGCTTCCTTTTTCAATCTTACATGATAGTAAATTAAATATTTTGTCATTTGAAACATTGTGCTGTTGTTTTGTCCAGCATGACACATTTTTCACAGGTTTCTGTTGTTGAGTAGGTCAAAATACTAATCAGTTAACACAATAATTGTGTTGCATGAAAAGTCTCGCATACTCTCTGGGTGTTCGCATCATATTTTGGAAATGCTGACTTTGAGTTATTGAAGGACATCTGTCTAATGTGTCCTTTTGTTGCAGGCTCTGGATTGGCTACAACAGTCAGGGGACCACTACCTGGCCACACACACATCACCTGGGGCGACAGTGGCTGAGACGCAAGAACTGCAGATCCAACACAGGGAGTTCTGCATTTCTGCCAAGGTGTGTTTTTTTCCATAGTTTATTGAAATGTATATCATATTTTTTTCACTTTCTATGAACAGTACTTCCTAGTAAGATAATTAATTAGTTAATGTAGTCTGAGCTCGTGTTTGGATTGCTCAGCAGCCTTATGATGCACACGCTGAGGGGCCAATGACCCTCTAGCCAAAGCATCTGTTTGAAAAGACTGTTAATATTTTGTTTGATACTCACAAAAGCAGAGCAGCAAACAGCTATGAACTAAGGCCATCTGTGTACCAGTCCACCTGTCAGTCAAAGAAACCATATGCTCTCATTATGCAGACTAAGTCTTAATAGGTGAGCACTTTACTCTTCAGTGTTGATTGTTTGTGCACAGAGAAAGATGCCAGAAAATCCCTTAAAGAGAAACAAAAGGCCATTATGAGATGCAAAACAACCGCTAAGAGACGTATTGTGATCAAGGAGATACTGAACAGCTACAAAGAGACCATGAGAGATGTAGAACAACCCAACAAAATTCAGAAAATCAGTTGGATATTAAAGTATTTCCCTGCTCCATTTTGTGTCCTGAATATGATTAAAATCAGGAAAAGTGCTAGCAAGCCACATGTTGTTGTGAGGTTGAATTTAACTAAACTATGACCTTGTTTCTGTCAGCATACGCAGGAAAAGGTTCACCTGCTAATACAGCTGGCCGAGAGTATGCTGGCTAAAGGCCACGCCCACCGCACTGAGCTCCGTCGTTGTGTTTCTACGGTTGACAAACGCTACCGGGACTTCACCGTCAGGATGGGGCAGTACCGGCACCTGCTGGAGACGGCACTGGGAGGCTGCTCACAGGTAAACGACACAAGTACTGACTGTGGAGCAGGAACTCTCAACATTTGAAAGCGAAAACATGTGAGTGAGTGTGATGTGATTCTTAGTGTTCTTGCAATAAACCTGTGTGAACCTTTGCATTTAAAGTTTATTTCCATGTAAAACAGGTTATGATTGAATAATTTGAAGGACTATATCATACAAATGCAGCTTTTTGAATTATTAGCAACAAGCTGCAAATGTGTGAAATTAGAAGGCAGATCTGTTGCTGTACTTCTATGATTATTCAGATTTCGAAAATATATTAAAAAATTATAATTATATATATTAAAAATAAATAAATATAAATGTATGTGTGTTTTAGTGCGTTTACCTTGTATAGTTTTCCTCTCAGGATAATAAGGACTTGGAGCTCGAGCTGATCCCCAACAGTCTGTCAGACTCCGACCCCGAAGTCAACCTGTCCGATCCGAGCCACCAAGTCAGCGATGAGAAGAGACGTTCCGCCCGCAAGAAAGAGTGAGTACTCTGATATTACTGATATTAGTATAGATATTACTGGTAGCAGTACTACTGCAGTACTCTGATAACACCTGTGTGTGTCCTCAGGTACATCATGGCTGAGCTCCTTCAGACAGAAAGAGTCTATGTCAGAGATCTGCAGGAGTGTATTGAGGTATATTTTCAGAATTCGTGGGTTCTGATTACTGGATGTGACGCAACACAGTACTACATAATACTAAATTGTACTTTCTGTTGTTAATACGATTACCTGCTGCAGACATACCTGTGGGAGATGACGAGCGGCTCAGAGGACGTCCCGCCTGGCCTTGTAAACAAGGACGATATTGTGTTTGGAAACATCCAGGATATCTACGAGTTCCACAACAGGTACCACTAAATATCCTGCTAAATGTGCGATAACACTGCAATATTCTAATGGATGTATTACATTAGGAAACATCCAGGACATCTATGAGTTGTAAACATCTCCAAACTACATGTTTAGATATCATAGGTCCATAACTGTTATTAAAAGAATATTAAAATACATTTAGAGAAAATTAATATTTTCTGTGTTTTTGCAGTATTTTCCTGAAGGAGCTGGAAAACTATGAACAGCTTCCTGAGGATGTTGGACACTGCTTTGTCACCTGGGTATGATTCTTTTTTTAGATTTCAGGTTGATTATTTATTTTAAACCTACAGAGCTAATGATTAATCTGTGTTTATTTCCCTATCAGGCTGATAAGTTCCACATGTACGTGACGTACTGCAGGAACAAACCAGACTCCAGTTTACTCATCCAACAACATGGCGTGGCGTTCTTTGAGGTCTTTTTCAAACACCACAAACATCAACTTAACAACCTAATATTAGCCAATAGTTTAGTTGGGTAGCACTTAATTTATCTTCATTCCAAATATTATTTTTTAAATATATAGGAGTTTCATCAATGAAAGCAAGTTTGGATTTCACTAAAACACAGCTATGTTTACGGCTTTCCTGTGTTTTCTGGACTCATATCAAGCAAAACTGGCAGCTTCATCTTCTTCAACAGACTTTGAAACTTTGGGGTTGGAAATTTGTGAATGTGACACTTAATGCCACAGAAATGTAAACTAAGCTGGCGAAACCAAGCTCCCTCAATTCGCTGTGGAAAAAAATAAGATCTACCTGGGATCAGTTGTCTCATTTAGAGCCCAACATTCAGATATCTGTGATTCTAGCAGTTTTGTCATTACCGTTCCCCAAGAGACAAAACAAAGTATCAACCAACCCAGAGATTAGTTCCACCACACCAGAAGTACACTCCATCAGTCAGTCACCATGTTTGACTATGAGGTTTAGACACTGAGCCAACAGAAAGAAGAAAAGCTAAATGGTCTAGATTTCCCTGGATACAGTTTCTCGTGAAAAGTCGGATCACAGAAAAAGATCTTGGAAAAATGTTGGTAAAAGCATTTGTTAACCTCCTAATATTATCCAGGCGGCGTCTTTAGAGTTAGTTTCACATCTACCCTTCTTTATGAAGAATTCCTTCTTGCTGAATGGAAATCTTACAATAGAAGAACTCCAAGGCCAAAATGCCTGTAAGAGACTTGATTTGACATTTACCACCTTTGAGCATGTTTCCAAAACACAACCCAGCACTACTGCTAAAATGTTCACCAGCAAGCTGGTGGAAGTTAATAGATTAACACAGATGGAAGGACACGCAAATTATCCAAGATTTTCACCATCCAGAGAACCAACCTATCTCGACAGCCTGACATGAATTCAGTTTATGGACATCCAGTCTCCAGTGACTAATTAGAGGCTTAAATTAAGTAACCAAAGGAGCTTGCAAAGAAAAGCATCTGGACTTCTTTAAGTTGCTTGAAGACGTTTCACCTCTCATCC